TGCAATGCAGAAGCCAGAAGACGGCATCAGATTCCCAGGAATTGGAGTTACACATCGTTGTTAGCCATCATGTGGGTACTGGGAATCAAATGTTAGTCCTCTGCAAGAGCAGCCAGTGCTCTTAACTACTGAACCATCTCTCCAACTCAATACTTCTGAAATTTCTCTCTCCATAAATTCTTATTCACATCCATTGAAACTTCCAGAAAACTCTCTGTCTCTGAACACAGGAGCAAAATCTATTTGTCAGCAGCTTAGCATCAGGAACTATGGAAGATGCTATGCATAATTTCCTTATAAAGAGCTAAATTTAATCATGAAAGTATTAAGTAATTTGTCCAATGGAAACAGTGAACTGCAACCTTGGCGTCTCCTTAGAGCCATCTGAACACATATTTTAAAAGAAAGATGCCTGGGGCTGGAGAGATGGCTCAGCAGTTAAGAGCACTGTCTGCTTTTGCAGGACTCAGGTTCGGCTCCCAGCACCCACACAGCAGCTAACAGCAGCAGTTGCCCTTTTCTCATTTCCACAGGCACTGCACACACATGATGCTCTTTCACCATGTGGGGAAAACACATAAAAATAAAAATAAACTAATGTTTCAAATGGCAGGTGCCTGAGTCCCACACCTAGTGATGTATTAGTGTAGGATACATCCTAGGCATGGAAATTTAAGAAGCTTTCTGGGTGACTGATTTGCAATGAACTTTGAAATCCATGAGCTAGTGGGAGGAGGCAAAGATGGGAATGTTGAGTCTCCACAGCCCTGATTCTTTCACTATTACAGAGATTTCTACTCAGTTTGGCATTACCTATAAGGATGTTACTATTATCATCCATGTGTACATTTTAAACTATGAACCTCAACATCAGTATATTTAGATTTAACATTATAATTAAAAGTGAGGATCCAGGAGCAGATTTCCCAGCTCAAATCCCTGTTCTACTCCCTCCTCATTGGAGAATCAGCAAATTACACCAACTTCCTGAATTCAAGTCAAGGTGGTTATAAGACAACATGGTGGCCACACAGGCAGAGGCAGGCAGATCTCTGTGAGACTGAGGCCAGCCTGGTCTGCATACTATGTTTCAGGTCCCTCTTCAGGGAGACCCTGTCTCAAATTATTTTTTTTTGTTCTGAGGCTTAAATAAGTTAAAATGTTAAATCCCTTAAATATCACTGGCATGTAAAAATATTGACTATTTTTATATTACTTTTATATTTTAAAATCAGTAGCACCTAGAACCTCAACAGGATAGATACTTGATACCAGAAGTTAAAATACTTTGAAAGAGTGGTAGAGAAATATATTCTCATTCACCATTCCTGACACTGTGTAGAAAGTACCAGGAGGTAGACATTGTATACAGCCATTTTCTGTAATTTTCTTTACATTTAGAAAACAGAGAAAGGAAAGATTTATGGAAAGGGGAACAAATACATCTGCCTTCCTTGATATTTTAGTTCTGTGTTCTTGCTTCAATTGACGCTGTATACCCTAATGTTATTTTGTTGTAAATTTCTCTCCTTCCTTACAATTCATAATTCTCTGATCTTTTTCTTTTTAATTTATTTAGAGCTTTGAACATGCATATGTGCTTTGATCAAGTCCACCCCCCCATTTGCTACTTTCCAATTCTTCTCCTATCCCCCCATCACTATTCTCTCCCAATTTCCTGTTCTTATTTCACATTTTAAACCTACTGATTTTAGTGTTGCCAGTATGTGCTTGAATCTAGGGTCATCTGCTGGAGTATGGCTAGCCTCTCAGGGTCTGTACCCTTAAAGAACATGGGCTCTTCCTCTCTCAGCATCTATCAATTGCGAATAGCACCTCAGCTAGGGGTGGGACTTCATGAACTGGGATTTTATCTGGTTTGGGCTTGTACAGGTCTTCTATATGTTGCCACAATCGCTATGAGTTCCTATGTACCTCTCCCACATTGTGTCTAGAAAACAATTTCCTTGTAGTTATCCACAGTATTTGGGTCTTAAAAACTTTCTGTCCCTTCTTCCATGATAATCCCTGAATCTTTGGAAAAGGAGTGTTATATAGGTGTCCCATTTAGGGCTATGTACTCCTCAGTCTCTTCTTCTCTGCATATTGACCAGTTGCAGGCCTCTGTGTTATTTCCATCTACTGTAAAAAGAAACTTCTCCAATCATGGTTGAATGATGTACTCATCTATAGGTATAAAAATAGGTCATTAGGAGCTGGTTTAATATTATCTAATTTAGAAAATAACAGTAATAAGTTCTCACCTAGGGCCTATGACCCATGTAGCCATGGTTATTGGCCCTGATAATGATGCCAAGCATGAGTTCTGATTTATGTAGCAGGTTGTAAGTCCAAGTAGAAAGTCATTGGTTACTCCAATAATATTCATGCCACTATTACATGTCTTGACAGGGTGATCATCATTGTAGTTCACAGGGTTCACAACTGCGTAGTATTGATGAATTCTTTTCTCGTCTGGTAGTGTACACAGCACCTTCCAACACTCTGAGAGATAGCCAGTAGGGATGAAACTTCTAAGTCAGGACCATCTTGATTTCTCTTTGTTCTGTGACTCAAGTATATGGTATCTGAAATTGAAAAAAAAATCTTAAATTTCTTATGGAAACACAAAATACTAGAATAGTTGAAACAATCCTGAACAATAAAATAAAAACAAAAAACAAAAACAAAACAAAGAAAACTTCTGGAGGTATCAAGATCTCTGATTTCAAGTTATACCACATAGCTACAGTAATGAAAACAACATGATACTGACATTAAAACAGATACAATGATCAATGGAATAGAATTCAGGACCTACATATAGGCCCACAATCTTATAGTCCCCTGAGTTTTGACAAAGAGGCCAAAAATGCACTTTGGAGAAAAAACAGCATCTTTGTCAAATGGTGCTGGACAAACTGGTTAGCTACATGTAGAGGAATGAAACTAGATCTTTATCTCTCACTGCACAAAACAACCCAAATGAATCAAGGACCTCAACATAAGACCCAATGCCCTGAATCTGATAGAGGAGAAAGAAGGGATTACACTTCAACTTATAGGAACAGGAGAGGACTTTCTGAACAGAGCTCTTACAGCACAGACACTAAGACCAATAATTGACAACTGGGACCTCATGTAATTAAAAAGCTTCTGAACAGCAAAGGACACCATCATTCAAGGGAAGAAACAGTCTATAAAACAAGAAAAATCTGGCAAAGAGTCAATATCCAGAATATACAAAGAACTCAAAACACTAAATATCTAGAAAACAAAGAACCCAATTAAAAATTGGGGCATAGAACTAAACAAAGTTCTCAAAAGATGGAATACAAATGGCTGAGAGATGTTTTTTAAAATGTTCAACATCCTTATCCATCAAGGAAATGAAAATTAAAACTATTTTGAGATTTCATATTACCCCAATCAGAATGACTCTGATTAAAAACACTAGCAATGACAAATGTAGATTAGGATGTGAGGAAAGGGGAACACTTACACACTGCTGGTGGGAGTGCAAACTAGTGCAGCCACTCTGGAAATCAGTGTGGAGTTTCCTCAGAAAGCAAATAGATCTACCACATGATCCGACTCCACCACTCTTGGAAATCTGCTATTCCTTTTTTGCTCCCAGTTTCCTTCCCTTAATACACTGATACTCTTTTCCCTTTCTGTGGAAAATTAGTAAAAGCCTCACAGTATACTTCCCTTGATGGATTATTATTTTTAACTCTTTCAATAAACACCAACACTCATGTACACAATTCTGACACCCTGTCATGAATGTAAACTGTACTGTATTCATATCCTGAAGATAGAAAATGTTTCTACTGCAACTCATATCATACTAGAGACTTTTTTAAAACAACAGCACAAATCAGACTCAGAATTGATAGAAAGGTTTTTTAAAAAAAAAATGAGACTGGTAAGATAGATGGTTCGGTGGATAAAAGTGCTATCTGTACAACCCTGACATCTGGAGCTCAGCCCCAGAATCCATAAAGCCTGGTCTGGTGGCCAGCATCTGTTAACCCCATAATCCTATAGTAAAGGGGGTGGGGGTGGAGCTAGGACAGTCATCCAGAAACTTGCTGGCCAGCTAACCTGGTATATGAGGCACAGCTATAGAAACAACAAACAAGAGAGACTCTACCTCAAGAAGGTGGAAGGCGAGAGCCCACTCCAGATAGTCGTCCTTTGACATTCACACACTCACTATGGCATGGGTGTACCCTCTACTCACATACATACACAAATAACTAAATGTTTCAAAATTTTTCTAACTCCAAAAGAGGCAGAACTCCATCAATAGCAAAAGGTAAATATGCTATTACAACTCTGCTTTAATGTAAGTGTATTATCCTACCATAGCCTCACAGTGTTTGAGAATACTCAACATCTCATCTAACCTGTGAAAAAACCACCAGGACGCTGCTAGAAAGAACGGTAAAATCTACACCCCAAATTTCATCCATCAAATGAAGGAATAATAACCAGTCTTCAAAAAATAAATTATTTTGAAGTATATATATGTATATATAATATAAAATACTGAAATATCTCTCTTGTATCTGAAATCTCTTGAAAGAAATGAACATATTTATTGTTGGATTTGTAACCTAATCATGTGTTCATTTAATGAATGTTTGAAGCCAACTGACAACCTGGGGACTCCCAATCGACTCTGCATCCTATTTAAGTACCCAAAGTATTATTGTTCAAAAATAGTTTGGACTGAGCACTAACCAATCACCCAAGTTTTCTTTGTACATATGTGGCTTCATGGGGCAGAGATCACACTTGACTCTACCAGGAACTTGACTGTGTGTTGCTCTTCTGCTTGGTTGACAGGAGGCAATGCATTGCTACATGGTATTTATGAGATAAGAATCATCTTTTCAGTATAATTTCTGTGGTTGTGCATTATATGTTGAGTTCTAAAATTATAATGTCACCAGTGGAAACCAAACCAAAAGAAGTGTTCCCATGTATTCCAGGCCAGTGGATTGTGCCTTGCCTTAGTTGTTCGGACAACAGGACCTGTGACTGGAGAGAAATAACTTGGCAGCCACACAACTGCCAACATGGCATCCTAACCAAGCCCCAACTCCAGCAGTGCCTGCGAGGAAGGAAGGTAGGTTTTCTGCATCCAGTCAAGAAAGCTTTCAATCCTTGCCACCTGTAGCACTGAAAACCAGACAGTTACATCTGCTAGATCTATTTCTACTCTCTTGTTCATTGGAGGAAAACTAACCCAATGCAACTAATGTGTAGATGTTATCATAAAAGATCTTTAGTTTTTGTTGTTATTGCTGTTGTTTGGTTGGTTTTTTGTTTTATGTTTGTTTGGTTGGTTTGGTTTGGTTGGTTTTTTGTTTTTTGAGACAGGGTCTCTCTATAGCCCCAAATGGCCTAGAATTCGATATGTAGAGCAAGTTGGCCTTGATTTCATAGAGATTCACTTGCCTCTGCCTCCCAAGGGCTGGGATTAAAGGCATGTGCCACTGTGCCCAGCTCTTTAATAATTCTTGAACAAAATGTTTATTTTTTTCTCCAAATCAGTCTATTTGGTCGATGGAGGATATTAAAACTGTGCTCTATTCTGACCCAATTCCATGCTGTTTTCACAGCACAAATTGGTAGGCGCTCTCTACATCAACTGACAGCTAACAACTCAAAGCAGATGTCCTCGTCAACTGCAGTTCTAGCAGACACTAGTGCTGGAATAGACATCTGTAGCTCAGTCCAAGAAGCCAAATGCTCCTGCATGCAAGACTTGCTTCTAGAGCTTACCTAGTACGTGGCATTGTATTTATGCTCTAACCTTGCTGATCTTCTTTCGCATTCCTGGGCAGGTCTCACATGGACCGCACCAGGCTGACTTTCCCTTTAGGGAGGCTTCTAAGCTGATTTCTTGGACATGCAGTGTCTTCTTGCTAGGCATGCTCTGGCTAGGTAGAGCCGGGCAGAACTCTCAGACATGGGAAATTGGCACATAGACTGAGATGCTTGGTTGACATCAAGTAAGTAATCTTAACCAGATTCTCAAAGTACTATTTATCAGATGGACTTTTCCTTATATACTGTGCATAAGCTTTCACACATGGGCAGGCTGATTTCAAAAGCTGACTTTAAAAAAGCATAGTATAGAATGTATGTCAACTTTTCTATTAATAATTAGCTTAAGAATATCAATGGGGGTCAGGGCTGGAGAGATGGCTCAGCTGTTAAGCACATTGGTTGTTCTTGCAGAAGACCCAGCACCCACATGGTAGCTAACAACTGTCCATAACTCCATTTCCAGGGAATTCGACGGCCTCTTCTATCCTCCATGGGCATTGCTCGACATGGGTGATCTTACATACACACAGGCAATACATGAATACACATCAAAATATTTTTTTAAAAAAGAATTTCAACAGGGTAAGTCTAGGGCAGGAAGATAGATGTGTTCTTCATTTAAAAAGAACTACACAAATATTCATGGTTGAGAATATTTCTAATAACTAAGAAATATTGCTTATTTTTTAAAAGAAAGCAAGAAAACAATTATTTAGAAATTTATGTTGGTGTCAGCAGTATTAACAAACCATTTTCTGTGTGAGGAACAGTGCACCTGACTTTCTCAAATCTTAAAACCCCACCAATTTGTAAGCTTCATGAAGGTGAGGGATGTGTCTGATTCACTCTCATAATCTTATTGTTGAGCAGAGTTTGTGATACATAATAATCATAATAATGAATATTAGTAGGACTAGGTATGGAACTCAATGGTAGTATGCTGAGAATGTTCAAGGACCCTACTTTCAATACCCAAAAACCAATAAATAGATATTCATAGAGTCAATGAATAAATTAAAATCTTAATTGCTTTTAACCACAACTCTATGAGGTAGATATGATGTATGTTCTCTACTTAAGAAAAATGAGGTTTGTAGAGATTCAGGCATTCTGGCACAAGTACATGAGGAGCTGTGACTATGGTACCTTTAACCATCAACCTGAGCCTCTGCATTTAGAACTGAGGCTCTGGAGAAGTGACAATAGCTCTCGTCACATCAGCCAGGCATCTCTAGACTCTACATTCCATTCTAACCTCAGAATTTAGAATATTCAGGACAATTCCAAGAAGATATCACAGTCTATTGACCTGAAAAGCAGTAGATGCAAGTTCATCACTGGATTTCATGGCTTTGAAAATGACATGTATTGTTTCTCAGGCTCATTTTCTTCATCTGTAAAATGATAAGTAAATACGATCTAACCCTCCACAGTCGATTAATCAACTCTGTAGAACTCACAAGGCCTTCTTCCCTGTCTCTTTTAGCTAAAGATGCTACAGACTGGGTGGCTGAAACAAGAGACGTCTATTTCTCACAGTCTGGGCTGGGGACTCATTGCCAGTTTCTGGTGATTGTCTTCTTGTTGTGTCCGCATATAACAGAAAAAGTGCTGGAGTCACTTCCTCTTTTTATATTTATAACATAAAAAGGGATCACCTTCATCACCTCATCTAAAGTTATTACCCCTCCAGTATTCTACCTGTTACCATCACATTGGGCATTTTTATGTCAACATATGAATTTGTATGGGTCATAAACACTTGGCTCATATCATTGTCTCTACTGATTACAAAGGTGGTTATTAGCAATTCTACAAGACACAGTTTTTAAGAGGGGAAGACACATTTTTTCCAGTTATTAAGAAAGAAATGTTATTATAAAATCTGAAAACCAAAGCCCATGCACAGATGAGGACCTGAGCAGCGGCCAGCTGGCTGGCAGCACAGCAGAGAGGGCTTATTGTAGTGCCTTTCCTTTGCCCACATGTTGGCATTGCTCCTACAGAGTGACTTGTTTACCAGAATGCTTATTTAGTTTGTACACAGAGGGAAGCACTATCCAACTTTAGCAGAGAAGTAGGGCAACCAGAATCAGGAAAGTCACCCCATGGTGTTATGGGGAGTGCCTAACGGAAGGACATAGGTACCAGGGAGACACAGGCTGTTTAATAGAATTCCAACATGCAACATTGAGAGGCAAAACAAGTATAGACTATGCATCAGACAATCTCACCAGTATAAAAGCTAATGGGAAATTTCTGGAAGTATCTTTGGGTAAGAGTAAATATATAATAAGGTGGAGATGCAATAGAGGAGATGCCTGACATCAACCCCTGGCCTCCACATTCATACACGTGTGCACATGCACCCACATGCATATGTGCACACACATGCATATGTGCACACACAACAAGTCCAATTCACACAAACAGAAAAATAAGTAATATAAATATTTTATTTTTAAAATACATTAAATGTTGATATTTTACCTCTCTTCCTAACATTTCAGATATTTGAAAAGCAAACATGACTTTAGCAATATTACTCAGAATTTACTTCACATCACATAAGGACAGCAAGGTAGCAATGAAGTAGGAAGAGCCTTAGACTGGCAGTCAGGAGTCTAAGTTCTGATTCCACCTGATAAAGAGAGTTTTATTCATCGAGCTTATCCTAACTCTGCTGCCCCATATGAGAAATACTGAGGTATCAGTTATACCTGAAGTGTTACCTCAGGGCAGAGTCCAGCTGATCATTTAACAAAGCTCTGAATGTTTGCTGTCACTTCATGTCACATTGTTCATTCATTAATTTAAGGTTTGCAGAGCTAAGAATTCCAGGAGAGTACAACATGACCTCTCAATGTGCTGGATTTTGAGTGACAGGGAAAATAAGAGAAGAGTTCAATGCCATAAAGTATAATTGCAATGGCCCAGAGGCAGGCACTAGATCCAGACACAGAGGATCTGGCAATGGTGCCAGACAGGAGGGACGTGATAAGAAAAGTGTTTATAATTAGAGGCCATCTACATGTTACGTTTCGTGGAAACACTTTAATTGGGCTAGAAAAAAAATTAGGCACGTTCATTTTTCCCAAGAGCATCTATAGTCAGAATCTATCACCCAAACCTAGAGTTCTCAATTCCCTCTTGCTGAGAGAATCGATGATGAGCAGTGTAGATAAGGGGGCAGGAACCAAGCCAGAGGTGGTAGACTGCAACAAACTCAAAGTGCTCATTTTTCATATACTTTGGTTTACCTGCACTCCTTGGATCATATGAAAGTGAGGTCATACCTAAACTTACCCTTTCTAACAGCCTTAGCAACCTAAAAATTTAACATTCATATGAAAAATTCAGATCTTTAACAATGAGACCTCACAGTTTTCACTATTGCCTTGAGTAAGTAATTCAAACATACTGTGCTATAAGAAACTCAGAATTTTGAATCCTAATCCTGGGAAGCTTCAGCTTTGGGAAACATGGTAAGCTTATCTTTCTCCAAAGAGCCAAATGGAAGGGTAACAGAATTTGACCAGGCCACTGAGAATTATTAGAAAGTCAGACTTTCAAATAGCATTCTGCTTTAAGACTTTCCAAGTAGTCACTTGACTTGGTTAAATTTCCTTATAGTGTTATTATGAGAATTTCCATCCTTTCCTACTGATTTACACTGATAAATGCCAAGACTGTACTTGGAAATACAAGCCTACCTATAAGAAAAGAATAAGACACAAATCAGTTGAGATTTGAAAAGCAGCTCAAGTTTCCATAACCTCACTACACTTAATGGCATGTGAGCAGGGCTGCAGTTTTCTTGTCCCAGACCTCATGTTTTATTTCAGTAATGTTAATTAGAAGATGGACAGAATACTCTCTCAGATAGAAAGAGAGAACAAGCTTTCTCCTCACAGCATGAGCAAAATTCACTTCTGCAGCAAACTTACATATGGAGGCCAGTTAAATGGGGGACTCCTTTCAAACTGTAGCATCAAACTAATTTTACCCAAATAGGAGCTATCTCATTTGTAGATAGAGATAGATGATGATGATGATGATGATGATGATGATGATGATGATGATGATAGATGATAGAGTTAGATGATCCAGATATATAGTTACTTTATGGTATGTTAATAATTATATTGAACCAAATCAAAATCAATTGAAAAAACTAGGATATTTTAATTTTATTCATTTGTTCAAATAGATGCCTCTTAATAAATTCGGAATGGAATCTTGATAAATGTGAATCAGCATGACTTCATAGTCACCATGTGAAATACAAAGGAA